GCAGCCTGGGACTGAGCCAGCTGGCCAGCTCCCAGGCTCCTTTAAATGCAGAGCTGCTTATCAGTTAATCATGTAATCGATAACATTTTTGTCAGCCTCATCGTTCCTAGCTAGTTGAAATCAGTAATCCCAAATTTATTCGCATTCAAAATCATTTTCTGTAAGACATACATTTTAAACAAGTACAGGCAGTCCCCGAGTTACGCGGATCCGACTTATGTCGGATCCGCGGATACGAACGGGGCCCTCTGACCAAGTGTGCTGAACATGAACTTATCATCACGACACCCTTTTTCGGCAAAAGGACAAGTTCAAAACATCTTGGACACACCCATGTTCAAAGCACTGCCATCTTCTTGACAAGGTCATTGTTTGTGCTCGAGGTCATAGTGACATACTTCTCACAAGAGCAATAACAAGTGCCGATGACTGCTGGACTACTCATTGCCTCATTCGATCCACAATGAAAGTTAAGATTCCCCCAAATGGAGGCTACAATAGAAGCAGATCAGATTCAAGATGTGAAGGACCCCATTAAGCGTGACCACTTCCAAGCAGTCTTAGAAGAAAAGCTTCCATCAGAGTTTCTGGAAGAAACTTGAGGAACATAGGAGCCAGCTGTACATAGGAGCCTGTAAGGAAACCATAGGTTTGTGACAGGGTCAGGTCAGACGGTTACCAAAGTACTAGAAGGAGTACTAGAAGGAGTATGAGAAGGAGGAGTACTAGAAGGAAAGTATGAGAGCCTTAGACTAATTAGGTCTCTGTTCCCTGGGTAAACTGGCAGGGGCTGGCCTAGAACCAGCAGGAGCTTTCCAGAAGCAGTCTGGACAATCAGGCTAATTAGAACACCTGGAGTTAATTCGGAGCCTTCCAGAGCAAAGGGAATCAGGCTAATAAGACCACCTGAGCCAATCAAGAACCAGTTGAGACTGGTTTAATAGGGCTCGTCTTCTGTTAGTTAGGTGGCACATGAGGAGGAAGGAAGGAAGGAGCCAGCCAGCCAGCCAGCCAGAGAGAGAGAGAGTACAGGCAGTCCCCGGGTTACGTACAAGATAGGGACTGTAGGTTTGTTCTTAAGTTGAATCTGTATGTAAGTCGGAACTGGCATCCAGATTCAGCCGCTGAATCTGGACACCAGTTCTGACTTACATACAGATTCAACTTAAGAACAAACCTACAGTCCCTATCTTGTACGTAACCCGGGGACTGCCTGTACTAAGTTCTAGTTACTTCTTTCAGTTTTGTGACAGTTAGGACTTGACCTTATCCTTCACCAATTCCCCATTTGTATGTTTACTCACAAGCCAGAATTCTAAATTTTGAGCTTTCTGGAGCAAAAAAAGCAATGTAAAATACCTAGTACGCTGCCATCCTAATCCCTTTTTTGGGGTCTTTACTTTTTAAATTTTCCATTGTGATAGCCTCTTAAGTGCATACCTGAATAATATTTTCTTTTTAAAATAATTTAGTTCATTAAAGATGTGTAGAATCCCAATAAAATAACTTTGGTACTTGCCAGAGTTGTTATCATGAGAGTTGTTTGGCTTTTTGTTTTTTTAATGGCTGAATTCTGCTGTCCTTGGATAGTCTAATTACCCGTTAACATTATTGCTGTTTTTGATTGCAGAATTAGATTTTTTTTTTGGTTCAGTGTAGTCCTGTAGTTCTACATACCAAAGTCATTTTTGCATATTTCTGAAGACCTATAAAAATATATTGGATCAATGTTTTTAAAATGTTAATTGTATTTAAAAATGTGAATTTTAAGGTGTTTTAAAAAGATGTTTTAAAAAACAAATGATGCAAGGAATTCTTGTCTATTTTATTTTGAAATTAGAAAACAAATACCAAGAAAAAAAACTGAAGTACCATCAGTTATAAAGTTTGTATACCTATGGCATAATTTGTGTGTTCATGTTAAAATTATCTGCAGTATTTTAGCGGATGTTTTTTGTATCTATAGAACAAATTGTTGTAATTTGTATGCTTTGTAATGGTAGTGCTGTTAGCGTTGAACTAATTTACCTCCTAAAACAATTTAAACTGGATCATTAAGGTCAAACTATTAACTTTAATTCTTTATTTGCACAGTGTTATACCTTGTATGGGCATATGTTCCTGAATCTTGGTTATTCTCATTGGGACTAACGTACTGGCCTCAAAAGTAGGTTAATTTCATTCACTGTTAAACATGTGAAAATATAACTATATTCTCACACTTTTTCTAAGAACAAACACATACCCAGAAAAGTTGTGTCCATGCCCTTTTATATTTAAAAGACCTTACATCTTATCCAACTTAAACAAGGAGATTTAATGTTTCTCTTAACAAAAAACTACAGTACAGGCAGTCCCCGGGTTACGTACAAGATAGGGACTGTAGGTTTGTTCTTAAGTTGAATTTGTATGTAAGTCGGAACTTGTACATATTGTAGGGGAAACTCTAGCCAAACATTTCTCCAGAGCTCAGTTTTATTCTCCCACACCTCACTTCCCTCAGTCCTTTATTCTCAAGCTGAGGTGTCTGCTGAGAAAAGCCGCTTCGCGTCTCCCTGGTCTGCTGTGGGGAAGCAGCTAGTGCGGGGTTGCCTCACCCCGTTTGTAAGTAGGGATCCGATGCAAGTCGGATCCATGTAACCCGGGGACTGCCTGTATTTATGTAAAGTAATGCCTCACAAACAATAATTTACTCTGAAATATTATCAGTAAGCTAAAATGACATGTTAAAGTAATTTGATGTGTTAAAGTAATTTGACAGATTTGACAGTTTAACAAAGCTCTTTTTTTTCTAAAATATGCTAAAATTGATTAAATTCCCAAATAAACTGTGTGACATTTATTTCGCTGTTGTTCCATAATGGTCACAATGAGTCTTTACTTAATTAACTGCATTTTCTGGGTGGTCTCTTTTAGTGTGGGGATTTTGTATTTTTTTTGTACTTACTTTTACTTCTGTATAGTCTTGGTTAATTTATAGCTGGAAATATTTTTACTAAAGACTTTTCTTTTGTGAGATGTCATTTTAAAAGAAATTTTATTCTGTAGGTACTGGGCAGTTGCTTTGCCTATATATCTTTTAGTTACTTTAGGAATTGGCTATTTACTACTCTTTGGAATTAACATGATGAGTACTGCACCACTCAACTCTGTGCACACCATTACAGGTAGTTGATAATTTTCTTGTTTATTTTTAAGCCTTTTTAAAAAGTTATTGTCAACCACCATAAAAATACTTGCTGATATAACTAAACTAAACCAAATTCAAAGCATTGAAAATTCAAGTATGTTTAATATATTGGTGTATTGAAGGAGCAGTTAGGACAGGGGTGGGCAATAATTTTTGCCTGGGGGCCACTTCAAAAATTTTTGCAGTAGCCCCAGGCCACTCCGGAAGGAGCAGGGCCTAAACAGGAAGGGGCGGGGCTACCCCACCCCCAGACTATGATTGGGCGGGGGAGTGTGCACAGCTGCCTCTGTCCTTCCCCACCCCATCCCCCACCCCTGCAAGCAGCGCACGGTGCTTCCAAGCGCCCCGTGCTGCTCGCATGGCAGGAGGAGGCTTTGTGCCCACACATTCCCCCACCCCAGCCAATTAGGGCCTGGGAGCAGGGGAGTGCTGAAAGCCTTCTCTGCTCAGCCCCTGCCCTGCAAGCAGCGGGTGGCTGAGCGGAGAAGGCTTCAGGCACTCCCCCGCCCCCAGTCCCTAATAGGCTTGGGGGCAGGGGAGCAGCAGGGCCTCCGCGGACCGGATCCACCCACTTGGTGGGCTGGATCCAGCTGCGGAGGCCCTTTTGCCCACTCCTGCGTTAGGAACAATTATAGGTTTTGTTCAAATTTCATTACAATGCAGTGTTACAACTACAATCTTTGACTGTTGTACTTTTTTCCAAATTTATCTTCTCTAGGACAGCTATTATAGTCTAGCATTTGTTACTTTTGCCCAGGGATTGTACTTCTGTTTATCAGTCAAGTTCTGATTACTTGAAATATAAGTAGCTTGCTCAGTACTTTCCCATGTTTCTCAAGATGGCATATTTTTATTTGCTAATAAGTGCTTTTCCTGAACTAGAACGTGGGAGAATGCGAAAGTTAGCCAGATCATTAGAATCCAAGTCTGTCCTAAAAGTAACTTCTATGTCCATTCACTTCTAATGAAAACCAACAAAATTAATATTTGAGGCGTGTTTCACTGATTTGTATTGACTTGCTTCCACTGAAGTTTTCTTAGAAGTGGAAAGATACAAATATAGACTCTGCAGAAAAGATGGTAACTAAACTGATGACTGGATAGAAAGTTGATGAGGTCAAGAACAAAAAGGGCAGCTCAGCAGCACACATCAACAGACAGAAAGCGTTGGGGATAATTCTTAAATCAGCACTATGAATCTTTGCTAACAGGACATTACCAATAAAATACACTCTCAGTAAACCAGAGCGATGCTGTTAATGTCTCAGAAGTGATATTAAATGTTGCATAGAATTAGGTTGTAGCTAGGTGTGATATGAAATCAGTGCAATATGTTTTTATTTTGATAAGGTATAGGAGTCTGACACGTGTAGCAGAAAAACAAAGTATTTCATTTTATACCATCAATTTTTAATCCTGTAATAGTGAAATGTCTTGTTACTTTTTCTACAGATAACTTTGCAAAAAATCAGCAGCAGAAGAAAACTCAAGAAGAAGCAATCCCTGCTTTGAGGGATATTCCTATCAGTGAAGTAAACCAGATGTTTTTCCTTGCTGATAAAGGCATTTGCAACAGAAATTAATTGGAACCTCGGCCATATTTAAATAAGATACTACAGTAACTTTTAGAAATGTAAGAAAACTCTGAAGTCTTGTCAGTGCTAGGACACTTACCAATTCATCTGCTCCAGTTGCTGAAAGAGTTATCTAAACTAGGTGTGGTTGGTATTGGTTCCCTATTCCTGGCTCCGCTACTAGCCTGCTGGGTAACTGTGAACAAGTCATTTTGCCACTCTGTACTTGAGTTTCTCTATATGTAGTGTGTATATGATAAAATCATATACGGGTGTGGAAAAAGTGAATAAGGAAAAGTTATTTATTTATTCCCACAATATAAGGACTAGGGGTCACCAAATGAAATTAATAGGTAGCAGATTTAAAACATACAAACGGAAGTTTTTCTTCACTCAGCGCACAGTCAGCATGTGGAACTCCTTGCCAGAGGATGCGGTGAAGGCTAGAACTTTAACAAGGTTCAAAAGAGAGCTAGATAGATTCACGGAGGTTAAGTCCATCAATGGCTATTAGCCCGGATGGGTAGGAATGGTGTCCCTAGCCTCTCTTTATCTGGAAATGGATGGCAGGGGAGGGATCACTTGAGAATTACGTGTTGTGTTTCCTCCCTGTGGGGCATCTGGTATTGGCAACTGTAGAAAGACAGGATATTGGGCTAGATGGATCATTGATCTGACCCAGTATGGCTGTTCTTATGTTCTACTGACCTCCTTCATAGAGGGCTTTGAGATCTACTCATAAAAAAGGATATTTAAGAGCTATGTATTGTATATTATTAAACAAATAACTGATTGTTGAAATGGTTTTATTTCTTAACTAGCAGACTTACCTGGCTGGCATTGCCTGAGTCCTTTAGGGCAAAGCTTTGGGGATGGGGGTGGTGCTGAGAGAGTAAAGATTGGGTGATGAGGAGGGGCTCAGGGTGTGGTGTCTCCTGCCCCCAGGAGCCTGTCCTCTCCCCACCCCCACCAGTCTGCCAGTTTGCTCCTCTCACAGGCTCCTTCCAGGCCCACTTGGGGTCTCTCCACCCCCGGAGGCCTGGGGAAAAGCACTTGGGGATAGGCACAAGATGGCTGTGTACCCACCCTGCTGTCCACTCCCATAGCCACTGGGGGCAGCTGTGTGATTACTCTCATATTGCATCCCTTCGAACAACAACCCCTCCCTTTGCATGCTACGGAATACAGTCATTTTCCTTGGACTTCCAGTTCTCCTGTCACAACCAGATCCTGACATTGCTTTAAGTTAGGAGAAGGGGAAGCTGCCTACCAAATTTAGTGGCTCTAGCTCTTACCATTTAGGAGGAGTTCTTGAACAAATGGACTCACAGACAGACCAGCACAAAGTCTAAACTATATATAGAAATATAGAGAAAGCTAAATGACAACTAGAGCTGGGAACTGAATTCTTCCATATACATTTGTTTAGTTATATAGTTGATAGGAAGTAATCTGTTTTGTTGTCATAAGGTTATTTTTCCTTTTGCATTGAAGCAAGATATTCCAAAGCATTCAATGTTTGGCTTAATTCTGCTCTCTTTGACTTCAATGGAAGGTGATAGGCCAATGCTGAGTTCTCCTATTTTGACCAGTCATAGTAAATTCAAGTATATGCACTACAGTCACATTAATAAAATGTTTAATGGTCTAAAACTGATTGTATTTCTAATATTTTTCTGGGGGGTGTCTTACTTGCCTTGGACATAATTTAGATATTTAAATACTTACTTTTGCTTATCAAGACTATCATGTTTTCCTATCTCTTTAGGGAAACTGATAGAGTTCCCTAAAATCAGGAACTAAGGGTAGAGGATGAAAGAAAATCCCAAAGGGTTCACATCTACAATATTTAGTTTTTTCTTAAATTTCTTTTTTAGCCTTTATTCTAATGTTCTTTAATATTAAATTACAATTCTTAGGAGTATCAAATATAAAATTTTTCCAGATCTATGGGACTGCTGTAAATGTCGTGGAAAATTGTGTGTCCATGTTTTTAAACTTAAAGGAAATCTTGAAGTACACTGCACTGTTTCTTAGCCGCTGCCAAAACATCTTAAACTGCAAATATTCTTCCTCTTAGGCATTACTTTGCTGACAAATTGTCACAAGTTGTCTCTCATCAATGTCAAGATATCTGTTGCTTCATTACTTTTTGTTAAATATTTTTTGTCTTCAGCTGTCATGCCTAACACATTGTATCATAAAATACTGCAGAACTGTCACTCCTGCCAGCAAATAACTACTTAATAGGGATGGTAGATAACTTTTATTTTAGTAATCATGTAGCCGCAAATAATATTATCGGTTACATAGTTACTAAAATACTCCCTGGGGCAGAGCTGGCAGCCAGTGTGCTCACGGTTCCAGCTCCACTCTCAGGGAGGCCCCTGCTTACCCCCATCCCCACCCCACCCTCTGCTGCTGCCTCTGTATCTTTAAAAACTGGCTCCCCACACAGAGCTGCTCCGGCCTGCTGCTCCGTAGTGTGGGCAGCAGCAGCCCTTGTCTGCATGAGGCCTAAACTCCCAGCATACAGGCTGCTCCAACATCCAAGCAGGCCCACCATAGACAAAGGCTGTTGTGCTTCTGCAGTCCTTCTCTGAGGGGGACCAGTAAAAACATAGGCAGTGTCCCGTATTCTCTGATTATTTTTTTTCTGGCTGGACGCCTGCCGGAAGCCTGACGTGGTGGCCCTGTCCCTGCCAGGCTTTTGCACAATCATGGGTTCCCAGTGGTGTTTGCGGCCCCGACTCCCAGCTGGGAGGCCGAGCCGCAATCGCCACTGGGTTCCTCTGGTTGTGTCAGAAGCCTGGTGGGGGCAGAGGAAGTGGCCGGGAGTCTGCCCCCACAAGGCTTCTGCACAATCACAGGCTCCCAGTGCCAATCGTGGCCCCGCCTTCCAGCCTGGGAGTCCCAGCTGGGTAGCGGGGCTGCGATTGCTGCTTATCCCGTGTTCCTTATTCCCCCCCCACCCTCCTCCCCCCCCAACCAAAAAATACCAGGTGTCCGGTATTTTTTGGGAGACCATCTGGCAACCCTACCCCCTGCACTGCTGCCTTTGATAGAGAAGCAGCACCAGGGTGGGAGGAGCAGGTAGCTCCGCATGAGCTTGCATGTGTGGGGAGATAGCTTAAAAGCTGTCTTTTCACATGCAGCAGCTCCTGCCTCACCCTCCATGCTGCTGCCTCTGTATCATAGGCAGGGCTTGACAAATCAGGCAAGCTGCTCGCCTGTGGCGAGTAGGTTTAACCTGGTGCAGCCGCACAGCGCGGTCTGTGCATGCACAGCGCGTGCTTCCACACAGCTGGCAAGCAGGGCTCGCCACCACTTGGCGAGCCCTGATCATAGGCATCGCTGCAGGAGCAGGGAGGCAGGCACCTTCATGGGATCCAGTGCTTGCGGGGAGCTGGCTTTTAAGCTGATTCCCTCCAGTCCTCCCCCTGCACTGCTACCACTGTGGGAGGCAGTGAGGGTGGGGGCCAGTGACTACATGGGAACCAGCATGTGTCTTAAGAGCTGCTCCCCTATTCCTTGCTGCCTCTGATAACGAGGCAGCAAGAGTGTCTGTGTGTGCCTGTAGTCATTTAAACAATAAGTGATCAAACAAGGCTTATGGGTTAATCCTTTAAATTACTATAAGCTAACATCACTATTTAATAGTTAAAACAAGTTACCATTTCATTAGAAAAGGAAATAAGGTATTTTGGAAAACTGTATGCAGGATCTGATGCTGATGCCATTGAAAATAACCAATGTTCTGCCACTAACTTCAAAGGGAATCTTTCCTCCACAGGCCAGCTTGCTATATCTGGATGATCACATGGTGGTTGTCAATTTGGAATCTATAATCTAAGTTTACTTGGTAGGTTGTTTTTTTTTATTATTGTTGTTTAGTTGTTTTTTTGCAATGGAAGAGGAATCTCTAGCCCTCAGAGCAATGAGAAAAATCCTCAAATTTTCAACTAAACACAAACCAATATAATGTTGTCTACCTGTGCCTGAGTTTATGTAGCTTGAAATAATAGTTCTAAACTGTGTAGCTTGCCCTTGTTCATCTCATTGGAGTGCTAATGCCAAAATCAAATGACTATATTTTAAATGGCAACATTAAGGATACATCTACACTACAAGCTTTTTCAGCAGAAAATATGTTAATTAGCATGTCGGGACATCATTAGCATATGTTCTGCCATTTCTTTTTGCACAAGGTGGTTTTTGTGTCCCTGACCTGGAGAGGCATACGGATCTTGCGCAAAACGGGGGTTTTGTGCAAAAAGGGAACATCCACACTGCTTCTTTTTGCGCAAAACCCCTTTGCAATCTGCTAATAATGTCGCGATTCCTGCGACTCATTAGCATACTTTCTGCCAAAAAAAACCTCATAGTGTAGACATAGCCTAACTAAATTGTTGGTCAGAATATACAAAAGGTGTGTCTTGAAATCTCATTTTGATGTCTCAGATATTTGAGTGCAGCATTTGATTTGTGACTGAAACTGACCAGCGGCTGAATCGGGACGCCTGGGGTAGAGCAGCTGGGGTGCGCCGGGTTGGTCCCTTAGCTCTGCCCCCTGCTTCCCCGATTCAGCTGCTGGTCAGTTTCAGCAGCGGCTGAATCAGGGAAGCCGAGTGCAGAGCAGCTCCAATTGTCCAGCAGCTGGAGCACTTCCGGGTTCCTGATGGTGCCAGACCATCAGGAGTGCCAGAGCATTGAATGCCGGACCAATTGAGTTTTACTGTAGTGACCATATATTTACTACTGCCTAACTATTGGTGGGGAGAAGTGTCATTAAAAAAAAAAAAAAAAAAAAAGCAACAGTTACCAATTTTTTTTATTTGGAATTCATGACTTAAGTTACTCCAGGGATATCCTATTTTCTCATATGTAATTTCTAATTATTTCCTTGTTTCTTTAACTTTATAGAAACCAATTTAATTTTAATTCTAACTTGACATCTAGTGAAAGCTGTGGTTCTGGTGTCTTTTAATGTAGGGATTAAATTAATTCCCAGTTAAAGAGGCACAAATCCCTGCAGGATAAAGAAGAGCTACTGGAAAATGCCTTCAAGCCCTAAGAGCACACAAATCAAAGGATTATAAATCTTTAACAAAGATTCTATCAGTGATGAATGTGCCATTTCACTTCCATTGATCTAGCACAATTATGGGAAAACTAACAAAAAGGGCCCTAAGTGACAGACAAACTGGGGCCATTTGTTACTTAAGTGAAATTTGCAGGCACGTAACTCAATCTTTGCTTTTCTGTCATTGAGTGGCAGTACTGCAATGACATTCTGGTGACCTTTACTTCAACTTGAGAATAATTATCAATTTCAAAGGTTGTCTTCATGATCAAAATAATATATTCTGTAACACAATGTATATTTTTATGAAGGTTTTTGAATTCGTGATAAAGGTTAAAGGTGTCTAATGTTTGAAACTGACATATCTTGACAGAACATTGTGAATGCTGAGTCTCTTATTACATGACCTTACATGCAGCAGTAATTAGGTATATTTCATTCTTACCAGGTTGAAGGGAGGGGCAGCTACTTTTCACTAGTTCCCTGCAACTAAAGAAGCAGCATTAGTTTTATCTGTCAACTTATTTAAAAGGGTGTATCCAGTTGTCAGCTCCAAGTTACCAGATGGATGATTCCAAAACAAAACCTGACATGATCAAAGTGTGGTGCTGGTTTTACCTCCTTCGCTCCTAAAACATACCCGGATCTGGAATAGACTATATGTGATCAAATATCCACTTCCTCAGAGATTGGCTTTAGTGATGCTAAATCCTAAATTTACCCTCATTTTCACCTCTTGGCCTGACCTTATCAATGGTATCTTGTCACCAAGAAGATTAGTAGTATTTAGTGGACTGCACTGGGGCACATTTATTCTTGCTGAGCTAAGCACAGGGGGTAGCCTTTTGCCAGATTGTGCTCTTACATGACTTCTATTCTTTTTGGCTAGTTGCTTTAAAGGAATTTTGTTTTCAAAAGCTTTTAAATGCCCATCGCCATGATTTGGTTGGCTATTCAGGGCAAATAAGAGCCATGTGTGGAAACTGACATCTTGTCTTCCAGAATGGAGTTTCTGTACAGACAGTGTTGAGTTAGATCATAATCGAGCTCGTCCTGTAGTGAAGACCAGGAAGGGTACTTTTGTAGTGTTTAAAAGGAAAAGACCCAATACTGCTACCACTGAATACAATAGGATGGTATCTGTGGTTCCCAACCTTTTCTATATGATAATCCCATATGCTAAAAGACTCGTGTGTGCATGCAGACACATTATGTTCCTGACTATAAAGCTGAGCAGCCATGCAAAAGATACACCACTGATTTCAGTAGGAGCAGAATGAGGCTGAAATTGATGAGTGATACGAGATAGAAACGTGTGACTTTTTTTTAATGTGTTGCAGTATAGAATGAAGGGCTTAGGGTATAAATAGAAGATGTTTTTATGATGGTTCCTTATTAAATATTTCACAACATTATGTATTCAGTTACACTCATTTTTGTTGGAAATATGTTAATAGGGGGTCTGTAGACAATACTATAGTGAGATCTGTCCCCTTTTGAGTTGGGTGCTCAACAAACAGGAAAGGAAAAAATCCCTCTGGGGTGCTTACAAAATATTTATATAAGGCAGGCATGGGGATAAAATATTACAAATAAATGAGCATGGTGATAAATTAGAACAAGTTATACAAGTTATATGTAGTGCAGTTTGTTTAATTGGGGAAGAGGAATAAAATAATGGAGTAGGAAGTGAAAGAAAATGAAGAGAAAACCTGCTGGGCAAAATTACAACTCAGCATGTGAGTGGCCAGGGACATTTCTGCAGGTGGGAGGGAGAGTCAAGTAGAGCAACACTCTCCATAGGATTAGACTGAGTGAGCACTCCTCACTGTGACATGCAGGTACACCTTTGCTGTTACAAGAGTTGTCTTGAGTTGTTCTACATCCAAAGAACCATCTTTGGAGTCTAAAATGTGAGTCTCTGGCCACACATTTTTCCTATGGACTTCCCTCAGTGGAAGTTCAAGGCACAGACTCCTATAATTATGTTATAAAATTAATTCATGCAAATCAGACAGTTAATATTAGCAAAGTTTGTTTCTGCTTGTTAGGCAACATGGAAGTTGATTTGAAATTTTTCTTGTATTAGTTGGGGCAAGCTTCATCTCAAAATATATGAATGGCCTTATTATTTTCCAGAAAGTAAATATAAACATACTGATTTGGGTAATTATTAGAAGGTGTCTAAACATATTGACTACCAATGTCCTCCTAGCCTTCAATTTAATTGTGTTCTGTGTAACAATTTTAGGCAAGTTCAGAAAGGGATTGATACATTATTGCCCTAAATTGTAATCTAGCACTTGCTGGAGGAAATATAATCAATCACTTCATGCTGACAACTATCAAAAGTCCTATGTAACATGAAAATCAAGGTATATTTTAATTATAAATCTTAACTTCCAAACAGGTACATTTGTCACCATAAGATAGAATGTTTCAAGTCTTTTCTTCAGAGTACTAAGGTAACAAACTCATTACTATATGGATACTTTGTGGCCACATCTTTGCACAAGTGATGGATGATTCAAAGGTCATTGAAAGCCTCTCTGGGTCAGGCCCCAGATGAATTAACAAACCAAAGCTAAAAAGTGCAGGGAAACAGAAGACGGTGTATACTATTTGTTCATTTGGAATCTTTTTTGTTAAAGAAGCTGGTAATGGATCTTTTCATTTCTGCAGCTTTTATAGTAGTTTAAGCATTGCCATAATCTGAATCACATTCATGGTAGTCATAGCCTTGTGCAATAAGGATTTGTAAAAGAAATTTTCCTATGTTACAGAAAAGATAATTTACAGTTTAACAAAAATAAGCAGTTACCTGCGTTTTCTTAATGTTTTCGGGAAAACAAATGACCATTATAATCATTGTTAAAAATGGAAAGCCATTAAATCTCCTTCTCAATCTTTGATTCCATGTTATTTTAAAATGGTATTAAATGTTTCAAAATAAAGAAATATTAGGTTGACCTTGAGTGCCCCATGTGCAGTATGTGATTATGGTGGCATACATGGCCATGTGCCTATACTAGACCTCTGCTCTCTATTTTGTATAGAGAACTAATTCTGCCACCCATAGCTTCTGTGCCACAGTCCTGAATACTAGCCCTCTCTCTCTTTCTCTGGGAAAAAAAAGCAAACATCAGCATGTCAGGATACCCAGTGGCTGCCATCTCCCAAAAAGGATCTTCCAGCCTGAAGGCTTTCAAAGATGTCCTATAACTTGAGAAGTAACAATACAGACATACTAGCATAAAAAGATGTCTTTGTGTGTACTTTGTTCAAAATTAAAATGTACAAATGTGAATTTTGTGCCTACTACTACTGTTAATTGATTTTAGATTACATGGATTTTACAGCACTCGGGTTTTTTACATTAAATAGTTTAAAAAACGTTAATGATACATGATGAAAACCTTTTGAACTCTTAATTAAATCTGTCTTTAAAACGGTTGGTTTCTGGAGTCAGGGACATTCCCTGATTTCAGATACACTCTTTTCCTTAAAATCCCATTACTCTCATGCACTGAGCATGGAACAAAACCCAACTCCTTCAGCCAATGAAGTAGCAGGTAACTAACACTGACCCTGATCCTGCCATCTCTTATTCATGTGAGCAATCATGTATATCCTAAAATGATCTACAGAAGACAATACATGCACTTAAATGAATAACTACATGATCGGTCTTATTCTGTTTCCAAAAGTACACTGTAACCATGAGTGACTGCATCACAGAGAAGAAAATAAATAGTAAATTTCTTTTTAACTACATTAGAAACGTAGGGGCTAAGGAGAATATTCATGTTTCTCAAATTATAAGTGAAACACTTTATTTTTGAATGTGTATATAAACTTTTACAGAGGAGATTTTTTTAAAATTAAATTGATATTGTTCCATTAAATCTAATGTTATGGAATGTCTTGTACCCCAATTCTGCAAGCAGTTACTCAAGTACAAAGCTTTAGGCACAAGAATTGTCCCACTGATTTCAACTGAAATATTCATGGACATAAAGCTAAGTAAATGCATAAATCTTTGCAGAATCAGGCGGCTACTCAAAATAAGATGGCAGTTAATTATTTTCAAATAACTAGAAACTGTACAAAATATTTACAAGACAAACAGTAATATTCCAGCAAGACAAATGAGAAACTAAAGCACAACTAGGAAGAGTTATTTTGAATTTGGAAGTTTGGGACTGTGCAGGGCTATCCTTAGAGGGGTGCAAATCCCAAGACAAACCCCTTCCACCACCTCAAGCCCTGCCCCTGCTTCACCTACCTTCCTCCAAACCCCTGTCACACCTTTTCCTGCCCCTGCTCCACCCTGGTCTACTCCCATTCCACTTGTACCCTTTCCTGTCCCAACCAGGAGTAGGACAGTCGAGTGGTACCAGTTGCTCTGCTGCTGGCCACCGCACCCCCCAGGCCCTGCATCCCATTAAAGCATGGGACCTGAGACAACCACCTCAGCCATCCTGTGGCCTGTTGGTGTGTGTGTGTAATCAAGAATCCTTTCAAACCCCTGCTTATGTCTCAGTGTGTAATCTGAAGCAGATTTTTAAAAGCTCCACCTAGAAAAAGGAACTTGGCACAATGTTGTTAAAATGGCTTATAAAAGTAATTAGCAAGACTAAGCAGTAATTTAGTCATCCTGAATCTGAACACAAAAGAAATCAGAGGATTTTACTCTCTAAATACAAACTTTCTAATTGTAATATGCTATGCTAAAATCCCAGATTCAAACCCAGCACTTTTAGAAATGTTTAGAATAGGATTTCAATTTTGCAGTTTGAACTTTTTTACTTTGTTGCACATTTGTAATGTATGTAAGGTCCTTCTTAAAATTCTCTAATACACACCTGAATTCACTGTTAAATCATATTTTATTATTCATGCTTTGGCACCTCTTCCAAATTAATGGCAGAGCTCTTTTCTGATGACTTAGGAACCAGAACTCGTCACAGCTTATAAGCAGAATCCCAGAGGATCCAGTGGGACAATGGATATGACTTTCTAATATTTCACATTTCACCAAAAGATCTAATTTAGAGAGCTGTTGGGGGCATGTATCCACATGCTAATATTTTCCCCCCATCAGGCATAAATTTTTATCTTCCAAAGCAACATAAACTAGTGTTTGTGCTGAGCACAGTGCAATGGTAACAGAGACATTAATGGTCTTAATACAGAAGTTACTCCAGCCAGAGTCAGCTTGGGGCCACACAAACCTCTGCAACTTAAAATTCTAAAAAATTGCTACATAGACTTTTGTTCCTGATAGCCTCCCAAAAAGAAAAAAAAACAAATCTTCACTGTTTGTTGCCATTTGCATCACCCCACTATTTTTCATATGACAGCAAGAAGATGATTCTCACATGACCTTTAGATCTGGTTTATCTGATGTTCACTGGTAAACACAGAGACTATTTTTGTCCCTTGATTTAAATGGTCCTCAAAGGCTGAATATGTTCATTAAAAAGCTGAATTCCTTCCTTCCTCATCATCTTCAGAATCAGAGTCATCATTGTAGAAGTGAATTGTGGCTTGTACTGGAAAACTGGCCAGAACCTTCTTTCCAACGTTGCATAGGAACTCCTGGGATTTTGATTTGGGCAAATAAAGTCTAGTCAAACAAAACAAAACCACTTATAAAAACCATGTAAAATTTTTCAATCCTTTTAGACGAACTAACTCAAGGTTTGTGTTTGAAGAATACATTGCTTCCCTTCCTTATGAAAGGGAGGCTCCTCTGCATCCTTAATGGCTTCTCACTTGTCTTCATCTCTCCACCTTTTAAATCATCCTTCTATCTAAAGGACTCACTGAAGTAGTCCTAGCTCTTCCCTGATCAGTACTATTAGTGTTGGCAGTGAATATTAATCCTGAGTTACTTTTGGGGTAAGGAAAGGGCAAATATTGGGTTAACCAGAGGTCTCTATTTGGCAAGTGCTGCTCCTGAGAACATGAGGAAATCTGATTTTTTAGAATTGTGCTGACGTGGAAGTCAGAGAGGACAGGTTTGTTAATGGTAGTGTAGAATTTAAGGAAGGATTCTGAAAGGATCCTATCTGTACCAGGACAGAGTTAAGGGCTATGATCTGTTGATTTTGTATGGGGATGGTTCTACTGGTGAGATGAGTGTCTCTGGGAGGAAAAGGAGAATATATGTACTATTAGATACCTGGACTTTCAATTTCCTTTTTTTAAGGGATGATAATTATACAACCTTAATTCACAGTGTGGTAAGTCTGGTCTGTCAGGACTCTTTCATGGCTTTCTAATGTCATAATTAGCATATTGCTTCAGCTGCTTACCTTGTGCATCTTCTCAGGTGAATTACACAGTTTGACACTACCATAGAAGGAATTTACTACTGAAGAAAAAAATACAAATTTAACTTTTCCCGAAGCAACTTATAGGATTCATCTCACCTCACTGGATGCTGAAACCCCAAAGCTCCTTTTGAGCTAAAATTTCTCTGATCACCGTCCAGTTCAGACTGTAAAGACACATATGTGTGATTTAGAAGCAGCTGTAAAAATTATCTATAATTTTATAATTTTCTTGTCACATATATTAATTAAATCTTAGGTATTATAATATTAAACATATGTGAAGTATTATAATAATATAATATAGTTATATGTTTTAACTACCTGTACTCATACTTTAAATTTCCTGTTTAAATTAATAATTAAATATTTCAGGCTTTTGTTTTAAAAGAAACATTTAAAAATTATTACTTTTCTAATGTAGCACCCAATGGCCCCAGTTCATTCTGCTAGGTGCTGACTAAATACACCAAGACACTTTTTTGTGTTGGTTGGGTTCAGCTAGAAGCAATAACCTCTAAAATGGGGGACTTGAGACTTACCACTATTGGTGCTCTTCCTAGTCCCCGGATACTGCAGTGGAATACTGGGAGATACTACACTAGAGGCACTGTGTATTAAATGTTAAATTGAAGTCCCTTTATCCTGGTCCTAGAGAGGGTGCTACTGAGTGAACTCAAAGAACCCAGGGTACTTTTCAAAATGAGGAGCATACCAAGGAAATTAGATATAAAAAGGATTTTTTTACAGATCATCTGTCTACCTGTTCATACAGGATTTTCTAAATTATCCAACTTAAATGTATACCCCAAATTAAAAAACACAATAAGAGAACAAAAAAATGCCACCATAGCTTAACAATTAAGTAAAAGAAGCAGTGACAGATAAAAAGATATCTTTTAAAAAGTGGAAATCAAATCCTAGTGAGGAAAACAGGAAGAAGCATAAACTTTGTCAAAAAGAATGTAAAAATATAATAAGAAAAGCCAAAAAGGAGTTTGAATAACAGCTAGCCAAAAACTCACAAAGTAATACCAAAATGTTTTCTAAGTACATCAGAAGCAGGAAGCCTGCTAAACAACCATTGGGGCCCTTGGAGCACTCCAAGAGTACGTCTAGACTACATGGCTCCGTCGATGGAGCCATGTAAAATATTTTACTCAGCATAGTCAAAGAAGCGGAGATTTAAATAATCCCTGCTTCATTAAAATAAAAATGGCCACCGCACTGTGCCAACGATCAGCTGATCCAGCGCAGCGCGGCAGTCTAGACGCAACGCGGTCGACAAGGGAAGCCTTTGTCAATCACCCCGGTATGGCTCGTGAAACTTGGTTTACTCCAAGATATACCCCAAGATGATAAAATCATGGAAGAGAAGCTAAATGAATTCTTTGCTTCAGTTCTCACGGCTAAGGATATTGGGGAGATTCCCAAACCTGAGCCATTCTTTTTAAGTGACAAATCTGAGGAATTGTCCCAGATTGAGGTGTCATGAGAGGAGGTTTTGGAACAAATTCATAAACTTAACAGTTACTAATCACCAGGATCAGATAGCATTCACCCAAGAGTTCTGAAAGACATCGAATGTGAAATTGCGGAACTATTAACTGTGGTTTGTAACCTATCCTTTAAATCGGCTTCCATACCTAATGAATGGAAGATAGCTAACATGACACCGATATTTAAAAAGGGCTCTAGAGGTGATCCTGGCAATTACGGACTAATAAGTCTAACGTCAGTACTGGGCAAATTACAGTAAAACTCCATTAGTCCGGCATCCAATGCTCCGGGACTCCTGATGGTCCGGCACCATCAGGAACCCGGAAGTGCTGGGGCAGCTGGACAGGCTTCCCCCATTCAGCTGCTGCTGAAACTGACCAGCAGCTGAATCGGGGAAGCCAGGAGCAGAGCAGCTGGGGTGCTGCTGGGTTGGTCCCGTTGCTCTGCCCCGGGCTTCCTGGAATCAGCCGCTGATCTGTTTCAGCAGCGGCTGGAATAA